ACTGAAACCACCAGGAGGCTTTTTGCTGATTTTTAGGGGATTTGGGGTTAAGCTTTTAAGTGAAGATAAATGGTGAATTTTTAACATTTTTCTCTACACAGGGGCAAATCAGGGATATAATCCAGATGCTTCTGCTGTGCCAGTTGCACTGGGAGATGAATGAGATGCATCTTGGTGCGTGATTACTGGCCTTATCTAGTAATGCTGTATTTGCATCAGAATTAATACACAATGTCAAAAGGCACATTCCTTAAGAGCATGTGCCAATTCCTCTGGAAATAAGGACTCAGTCTCAAGGCTGTCCATACACCTGTTCTCCTTAGGCTCTAGATAATCCTCACTACACCCCAAGGTGGAACGAATTTGTCCTTCCAGCCAAGCCCTCTACTTTAACTCATGCGTTTGACAGAAAAGTCGCTACAAACAACACAATTCTGCATCCAGCACCTCAACACAAACCCAAATTCAAGGCCAAGCCTCCCCCTTGGATGAGAGATTAAGTTTTAACAGTTAGGCAGTGCTGTGGTTATAAAATGCAAACTCAAATTCATCCTTAAACCAGGTTGTGTTAAAAAAAAAAAACCAAAACCAACAAACTAACATATAAAAGAAGCACTATAGACCACAACTATAGGTTGTGGCTGTCCCATCCCTGGAAGTGTCCAAGGCCAGGTTGGAACAACCTGGTCTAGTGGAAGGTGTCCCTGCCCATGGCAGGGGGTGGAATGAGATGAGCTTCAAGGTCCCTGCCAACCCAAACAATTCCAGGATTCTAGATACGAAAAGTCCTGATTTTAACAAAGACATCAAAAGGCAAATGAAGACATGGCAATTAAGACAAGAGCACTCCAAAGGAGGAACTGGAATTGCCCAACTCCCTGGTTAAAGACACTCATTTCAGAGGGGTTTCTTGATGCAGCTGAGGAAGCTAGTCCTTACAGAAGAACACTGAATATTTTGAGGCTCTTTTTGTTAAAAACCAGTTTTAAGTAATTAGAAACCAGAAGTCAGAGTCATCAATTCCCATCCAGAACTAATGAGTATTTTATGACATAGTTCTTTCTAAATTGCCACTTGCCTGCCCCCCCCCTTCCGTCTCATTAATACCATCCAGAAATCACTGTTTGTGAGTTCTGAATGCAGGGCTGGCCTTTGGCTCAGCTTCTCCTGACACCCAGAGGTAACTACAGCTCAGTCCCATCAGGGCAGGGAAGCTGGGATGGTGGAATTACTGACTGGGGGAGCTTAAAATTAACTCTCCTATTCCAGAGGATCTTGGAAGCGACAACCAGTTGCTTTGGGTTGGTTTTTGGTGGAACTAGCTAAAGGAGGAGCAGGGAGGGGACTCTTAGGCCCTACTGTAGGCCAGGGTTTGTTCAGGGATCTGAGGGTTCCAAGGGCAACCCCAAGAGTTCAGGTGAGGGCTGGAGTCAGGGCAGAGCTGCAGCTCAACACTGGCACCTTCTGTGCTTCCCTTGCAGGGCTAAAACTACTAAAAGGAGATGAAGAGAACAGAGCAATGATGGGGCACAACGCTGTAAAAGAAGAGAGGGACAAAGATACCTGTGTTGATCTTTAGGTGACCAAAGGGAGTTGAATAATCCCAATCCTGAGGATATTTGCTGAATCCTAATTAACTTTGCACATTCATCACTTCTGAGACTCCCAAAGGCTGTGCATTTTGAAATTATTTCTAATGATTACCTGTCCAGCTATTACGAGATCCTTGAAAACTAAGATATTTTCTGCTGTAGATTTTAATTAAACAGGAAAATATTTGTTAGAAATACAATCTTCTTTGAAGGAATGGGGAGAAAAGAGAGCATGTTCTGGACTGGCTACAGTTTCTATTACCTGACTCAAAAGGTAAAATTTACTCTCTGTATGCATGAAAAAATATGCTGCATTTCTTAATATTTTAAAATGAAACTAAGAGCAGTTCTCTTTTGGGACTTATTCCATGGGAAATGGTTTTATCATTATGCAGTTGTTTGAAACATCTTAATGTCTCCTTGCAATCACTATTTAGTGATAAAAAAACTGGCCACACAGGGTGACACTGAGTTGTGTTACTGGAAACAAGGACAAGCTGTTAAATCCTCTCCTGGGTGAAGTGTCCTGTGTTTAAGACAGGGATTTGTGTATCCAGCATCCTGTGAGGCACAGCCAGGAGACACAGACCCCCAGACAAGAGGGCCAGTGTGTCCCACAGTGACTCATGAGCACACTCAGATTGTACTCACACATTAAAGGGTTCAGCACACAACTGGATTAGGCCTTTCATCCCTCCTTCCCCACCCCAGTGATCCCAAATTCCCATCAACTTCCAAACTTGATCAGCAGCCATCGCAACAACTATTGCAGCTTTTGTTTCTGTGTGGTAGAAAGGTTTTTTTTTTCCTTTTAAAGATGGAAAACCAGTAACAAAAGCTCCTCTTATATTGGGATGCCCAACATGCCCCAGGCTTGGGCACAACAAAATGAGGAACAAAATCCCAAGCCCAGATCAAACAGTCCCAACAAAGGGTAAGCAAGACATACAAATGTCACCATCAATCCTCCTGTTCCAAGCATATGCTTTGAGGCACAATAAATACAGTTTAACTTGTTCCCAAATCCTCAAGCAAACAAAAACATCCAAGCAGCAGCTGTCAGTTATTCATATTGACCAAGAAAACGAAAGCACCAGTCAGTATAGTGGAAAATGAAGCTCAAAGCAGGTGATAAAAATCAAAATTCACTGGCATTGAGAGCCTCAGCTGAACTCTTGAATCTACCAGACGCAAACACCCCTGCTTTTGTCTCAACACTCCATTTAAGGATTTCAGATTAACTCTATAAAACTTGAGCATGAATATGATTTCTGGGGTTTTGTGCACGTGGTTTGTCTTTTTAACTCCACAAAAGTGAGTAGTTCATTTTATCAGCATTCTCCAGGAAAACACGTAATTGAAAATACAATATAACAGAGGCAGTGAATGCCAGTTTAGCTGACAGCAAGCAAAGAACTAAGAAGATCTCAGGGTTTCAGAGCACAACAGCTGGGAGCACTGCTGGAACTACATATTTGAAATTTCCCATTTTAACAGACAGCCCTGTTCTAAGTATTCCTCAGTAAGGTCTTCCCTATATCCAATGATCCAAAAGCAAGGCTGTTCTATGTGTAATTTTGCACAATTTTGTTCAATACACATAAATTTCTCTATTAAACAAAGCCATGGGTTGAGTCTCAGTTCGAAGACAATCTTCTTCCTATCCTCCAAGAATTTTGTGGGAGAAAACAGGTATGTTTTTAGAATTCCTCTCCTCTCCCCAGCAGTATCTACACTTCCAGGTGTTTAGGGCCAGTGGGAAGAGTCTCCTGCATATGGAGACAAGGAATGATCATCCTCCTGGGAGAGGAAGCAGTCCATTAGAAAGATAAGTATCCGGAGTACTTGTTACAATCTAGAACTAGTCTACAGGAAGTAAAATTTCCCCCAAAAAAGCAGAAAACCTCCTGCTGAAATATTGGTCACAGGGAATAAACAACTGTGACCCATTTTTTAATATAACCCAGAGACAGCTCAAACAAACCTCAGCATAAAGGACAAAAGCAAAACAATAAAACAAGATAAATACAAGGACAAGGCACTGGAGAAAATGTTTCTCTAAGAGTGTCCCAGCTGATCTTTAAAATTTAATCACAATTCACCAACCAGAGCTTTCTTACCTATTTTATTGGGAGACATTTCCCTGTAAAGCCCTCCAGTACACATTGGTCATGTATTGCAGGGGCCACTTAAACAAATCAATGACTCATTAGTACCTGGTGAGCATCTAGCTTAATGAAATAGTCTGTTCATCCGTTATCAGAGACCAGAAACAATCCCTGCAGAGTGAAAGATGTAGGATCTTAAAAGTCCTGCTGTGTTAAGGATTGAGATCAGGGTTAGAGATCATTTTAGAGCTTTACATCACTGTCAGTTTAACAATACAATTTGATATGTGGTTTACCAGGACAGTTTGTTTGGGTAACTCCTGGGTATTAATGAGTTTACATTCATTTTATGGGATTGAAGTCTGTTTAAAGGGTTTAGGAAGTTACCTGAGGTCATAACAACTAGTTAGGAAGGTTACCAGCTTTCTTAGAGGAATGAAGAGCCTTCAAAACCAGTGCCAGCCTGACCAGCACCCCCTTATACAGGTTTTTTCCCTTCAGCTAAACATATGTTTTCAATAAACATCTCTGTTAAGTACAAAAACAAGCAGCTACAACAAGGGTGGGAGGGATAGGAAATAAAAGTTACACCACAAAGATAATACTCACAAATCCAGCAGCAGGTTAAATAAGGGAGCTCAGGAACTAAGCCTAGAGCCTGAAGTGACTCCCTGTGTCAAACTGAGCTGGGTAGTTCAGAACAGTATTCCCAAACATTCCTTTTCCAAACCAGGACCAATCCAGCAGCTCACTGATGTAAAAAACAATACACTCACCTTCTCCAAAGCCTGGTTGCTCGAGGTACTGCTGGGAACAGAAAGCTCCAGCTATTGAGAACAGACACTCAACCTTCTCCTGATGGTGGGGACCTCAGAAACTGATGAAAAACTGAGCAGGCTCCACCTTCACAAGCTCTGGTGGGATCAAAATCACCCAATTTAATACACTCACCACCTTAATTGCAGGAGAACTGACCTGGAAATGAAAGAGAGCTTTGATGCCCTCTGCATCCCTGCATACCAGTGCTGGCAGGGTCCAGACTGGAAAGTGGAAGAGGTCAAGTACTACCTTACATCCCATCTTTTTTATGGAAGGCTTTTAAAAAACTCACAGATTTACCATGTACTAAGAGATAAGTGATGATAATTTACCTGCATGTTTAAATAGAGCCTCTACAACACATCCTACAGTAATTCCACCTTCATGACTTCTGAAATTTGTCATTTATACCATCAGGAAAGTACCACTGGATACATTTTATCTTTCTTCTTGCCTCTTGAAATTTAAGACAGACAAATACTTAAGCATCAGATATGTTTATTAGACAACTCGAAAAGTCAGTTTTATTAGACAACTCAAAAAGAAAAGTAGAATGTATTTTAATGTCCATGTTTTAATACTTCATGATCTCAAGAACGTGGCAATCACAGAAGATAAAAACAGTGTTTACAAAAGTTCCAAAAGCTGCACTGCATTCCCAGTTACAGGAAACAGGATTAGAGGACAAGGAAGCTTTATAAAATGCAGCCACAGATTTTCAGCTCATTATGAAACACAGTGATATAGCCATGTATATGCATTCACAAAAAAATCGGCACAGTATGGAAATTAAGGCACTTTGGATACATAGTATTCACTTCCATATAGGAAAACAATTTCAGAGAAACCACAGTAAATTGCTACTGGAGGATGGTGACAGTATGCCCAGTACAGACCAGCAGAGCACCAGGGTTGGGTGAGTGAGTGAAGTTCTGGTTAAAAAAAAAAAAGCAATGAAATAATTTTTTTACCCTATTTGATTCAAGCAAATTTACTTTTACAGAGGCCAAGGAAGATTTCCACGATTTAAACACTGATAAAAACAATTTTAAGAGTTAAATGTAAGAAGTCCATGTGAAAACTGCATGAAGTTCACATTAAGGATTAGTGCATGTAAGTGTTTCAAAAAGAATAAAAATAAAAAGCAATGGCCTTCTGCATTCAACATTCACCTGCTGTTTCATGAGGTCCCCACCAACCCCAGCCAGACCAAGGGAATACAGTACAGCAGGATAATTTGGCAAAAAGCAATTTCTCCTCAGAGCTGCACTTTCTGCTCCTCCTGTTTAGTTTAGATTGTCCCTGTTTCCTTCCTGTGTCCCCCCGTGCCACCAGCACACTGATATTTAAGACATCTACAACACATTCCACAAATAATCATTCTCTAATTGAAAGAAAAAATCATCTCAGCTGGTTTTCCCCCCCACTGTGAAAGCAAAACTTAGTAATTGAGTAGTTTTGCAGCCTATGGTAGGTAAATGCTAAGGAGTGAAACCACTCCAAAGTTCAACTTTAATCCACCAGGAGTTAAATAGAATTGTTAGCAATGGCACTGGGCATTTATAGGATCAGGCACTTAAACTGGGTATTATTGTTGCTGTTACACTTTATTAATTTGAGTAAAAAATGCCATTTTGTACGAAAAAAAGGTAAGTTCTTCAAAAATCAAAGCAGGGCTTAGACATGGAAATGATGTTTACTCCAAAGAACTTGGCTTTTAATTAGGCCAAATAATTCCCATGGGAGTAGGGTCCAGCAGATTTCATCCAGAGCCAGGAAGAAGACACTAAGATACATCTGGGCAAGTATATCCTGCTCTATCTCCAACATACCATTAACATCCAGGAGAAACTGTCTTTTCATGTTAATTCTTCTTTTACCAGAACAACAGCCTGGACACCCTTCAGTACAAAACCCAGCATTCCCCAGCACTGAACTGTTCCCCTCACACACAGCTGATATTTCAATTTAAAACATGGAACTAACCTTCCTGAAACCTGATTTTCCATTCCTACTTGAGCCATATTCCAGTACTTGGACCACAGAATGATTTCTGTCCCCAGTATCTGAGTGTTCACAGAAAATCCATCCATTTTGAACCTTTGCTCTGGGTTGTATCAAAATCTATTCTCACAAAACTACAGTAATAAAACTTACTTTTCTAAGTGTGATGATGTGCCTCTTTATCAGCATAAAGCTATTTGAAAATATAGTGTTTTATGTAGCAATCATTTTTTTTACAGACAAAAAAATAGTAATTGAATAAGTCTGTTTTAAAAGCAAATGAACACAAGATTGTAATTTTAAGTGTCCTGAGAGCAGTTTCTCCTTTCATGAACCTTCATAAGAGAAGTAATGTCAGCTCTGAGCACTAAAATATATTATTCCCCAAATATATCCCCATATATTAAGCTGAATAGGGACACAGAGTATCTTGGTGGGGAGAAAAGTATCTTTTAAACAAACATCATAAATGGAAAGAAGGATTTTTAACCAGGGTTATTTCCTTTTGCTTTCATTAGGTAGTAAGAGAGTTGGCATGACTTATGTTTCTTTTAATGTTATCAAGAAAAAAAACAATAAAATTACAATCCATCAGATGAAATTAAATATTAACTCATCCCTAATCAAGGCAGAAAGATTGATCAAGTTAAACAATATCAATTAGGATAATCTTTATACTGTTCTACTTTGATTACATGGTTCAAAACCCAACAGGAATGTTGACCAATGTCACATGTATCAATGTGATATCAGTTAATACCAATTAACCCAAAAGTTAATGCACTGATAGTGAAAAAACAGGGAAAACTCCTTGTTTTGTAAACTTAGAGGACAAATTTGCATGATAGTAATTCCAGATTTGACTGAATACTTTAAGCCAACTGTCACCACTGTCCCTTTGGCTGAAGTGCATCATAAAAAAGCACATTATGGACTGATAAAGCTACATGTTTATGCACCACATGTTATAATATCTATACATATACACAGAGTATGGTAAGAAAGGCTGTAAAATAGCAAATATTACCAGCACCAGAGTGAAGTCCTACCACTGCTCCCAGCTAAAGTCATCTCCTCTCCCAAACACAAGGAAAAAGCCTAAAATAGTAAGGAAAATGACTGCATTGCCAGCCAGCACCAGGCCACAGGCTCCCCATTTGATCTGAAATGCAAGGAAATGGAACAATCAAAGCAAATCAAAGTCCAGGGCAGATATTTCTATGCATTAGAGAAACTAAAAATACTACAGGAAGGTGCTAAAAGCATACATAAAAAGACAAATAATAAATAATTCAATTTATGTGGCTAATTATTCAATTAGCAGCCACTCATACTGCTAATACAGCACTTCAACAGGCTAATGCTATGATGTAGAACAAAATAAAAATAATAAAATAATAATGAAAATAATATAAATACATAAATAATATAAATAATCTATACATAATGTAAATAATATAAAAATACAAATAAAATAAAGTAAAATAACTAAAATAATTTTTAAAATAATAATAAAAAAAAACACTTGCCATAGAGATCATTAAAACATACCTAAATCAGAGAGAAATGTTATGAAATTAGTGCTCTCCTTTAATTGCCATGCAATAAAATAAAATAACTTTCAAATAACTAACAAGCATTAAAAAAAATGGTCTTAAAAGTAAATAGCCTTTCTTTTAACAATTTGTCCAACTGATTTTACTCAAATAAGTGACATTTAACACTAAAAGTTACAGCTGTGAATCAGAGTTCCCTCTCGTGGTCATTCTGCTTCTGTCTGGCAGCTCCTACTGCCAGATCCACGATTTCAAAAGTGTCGGGGAAATTGGACATTAAAAATAAACTCAAACTCAGTGTACAACTTTCAAGAAAAACTCAAAGACTGAAGGGGAAAAACAACACAACAAAAAAGTCACTGGGTAGTTCGAGAGATGGGACAAAGGAATTCTTTGCCTGGCAAATAAATGTGACAAAAATCTCACCCCTGAAGAGCAGCTCAGAAAGCAAAGAGAAAAGGAGTTAAGTAGAGTTTCCTCAGACTCTGAGGGGACAAAGCAAGAGCTTGGGAAATGCTTTGAAAACTAGGAAGGGCAGTTCTGGAAGTTTGGCCTTTTATCTTTTAACTGACAATGGACTCCAGTCACCAAGTTTTCAGCATCCTAAATGGAGAAAGCAGATAAAAATAAGGAAGTTGGTGCAAAGGGTCATGAGATACAGAGGCATGAGATGGAAGAGGAGATGTTATCTTGTATTAGATCAAAACAAATCCAGGGGAAAGAAAAACAGCTAAAAAATTTTCAGTCATGCAAGTCTTTCATTCAGGTCAAAAAGCAGCACTGACACAACTTCAGCAGATTGTTTTCATCTGGAGACATCAAATAATAAAATTAAAGACAGGATTTACAGGCAGCAACAGTGCATTTAAAGATTATTCTCAGCAACTGGTGTCTAAAAATAAAAATTAGCAAGAACTTACTGCTTCAACCCGTGCAAGGATTATTGGAAATCCAAAAGCTGAGACAACAATTCCTGTGGTGAAGAAATAGGCCAGTTCTCTGCAGGCACTGCTGGCAGCATCACTGTCATCACTCACTCTTCTGGCAATGAAGTGGGGAATGGGGCAGATGAAGTAAAATATCAACACAAACAGAGGCCAGTACACACTGGGAAGGGGGAAAAAGGAAATGTATAATCAGTTAAATGGATGCTTCAGTCAGAAAAATTATTGCAATAGTTCTAAACCCACTTTATAGTTTGAAAAGGGGATCACCCACAAGATTTCACCCAAAAAGTGGCAATCCCACCTCACTTTCCCTGGCACAAGCACTCACAGAGCAGAAACCACCCCTCTCACACGACCAAGTGTTAATTTGTTTTACATTTGCATCACTCTGCTGATTCAAGTCTCACCACAGAGGGAAGAGGAACGTGAGCAGGATAGGAGCAGCTTTCCCAAATTAGAGGGATAACCCAGCTGGCTGAAGGCACACCCCGGCACTCCCATCTCTGTGTCAGGGCTCTCAGGAGCCTCCTCTGCGTTTTCAAGTGTTACAGACACAGAATCACAGAATTCTAGAACAGTTTGGGCTGGAAAAGACTCAAAAGCACATCTAGTTCCAACCTTCATGGGCGGGGACATCCCAACTGGAGCCTTGTGGGAGGGTGGTTTAAAGAAACAGGAAATTAAGGGAAAGGACTGTGCGAGGTTAAAAATCGCTGTTTAGCAACCTGGCACCGCGTTTCCAGAGACAGCACAAAGCTGTCTACAGTACTTTTTTTTTTTAATGGAAGTGCAAATATCGGCTAAGGAAGTGGGCTTTAATCACAACAAACCGCCACGTGTCAAGAGCCAGGAAGTAGCAGACTGCTGGAAGAGCCAAATAGCTCAAATAAACAAGAGTAACATCTCAATTAATAGAATTGAAGCAGGAGAAACTTTGGGAAGTCAGCCGGCCCGCTCACCCGTAGTACTCCAGGGCGCAGCCCAGCATGAGGAACGTCAGCCCGATGGCTCCGCTGAAGGACAGGGCCACGAGAGCTGCAACGGCACAGGGCGGGCGGTGAGGCGGCGGCCGGGCATCCCCCCCCCCGGGAACCGGGCATCTTCCCCCCGGGGACCGGGTACCACGTCAGCGGGGACGGGCATCCCTCCCGCGGGACCGGGTACCACCTCACAGGGGACCGGGAACCGCCTCCCCGGGGACCGGGCATCCCTTCCCGCATTCCCGGCCGCCAGCTCCCGCGCTGAGGCGATGCCTGGACGCTCCCTGAGCGGGAAGCCTTGGGAAGGAGGTAGGGAAGAACCTCTCGGTACCTTTGACGCCCGCCATGTCCGGCCTCCTCAGGTGACTTCCGCCTTCTGGCCACGCCCCCGTCACGTGACCGCCCGCGCTAACAAGGCGGAGGGGCGGGACAAGAGGTTCCCGCCCTCGCGGCAAGGGGCGGGGTCTGCTGAGGGAGCGGCTCCCGCGAGGGGGTTGGAGTGGGTGCCCGCACCAATATACGTGTTTATTTTATGTATGGTGTGTAATAAATGTATATATGTACGTGATAAATGCATGTATGTGTGTGCACAGCCGCGGTCTAAATACAAAAGCACCGTTTCAAAGAGCCCCTTCAGTTGCTGCCGTTTTGCAGGGTTCTCCTGGAAATCCCGTTTTCACCCCAAAAAATGGGCCGGGGCGCCCGTTTATCCCATGCACTGCCTTCTCAGGGTCTGCATCGTCCCTTCTGCTAATCCACACTGAGAAGGGCACGCATGTTTTTTTTAAAGAAATATTTTTCAAGCCTTAGATTTTTGAAATGCCACTTTCGACCCCACATTTTTTACCCAAGAGCTGCCTTTTGGCCCCAGGAACGGCCTTTTTGACCCAGTAAGAGCCTTTTTGTCCCAGGAGCTACCCAATCTTTGCCCTAAGACTGATCTTTTCGGCCTGAGAACAGCCATTTTGATCTTAGAACAACATTTTTGCCCCAAGAATAGTCCTTTGATCCAAGAATAGTCTTTTTGAGGGAGATTTTGGACAGCCCTTTGGATACCCCTCCCCAGGGACCTTTTCTTCAGATACCTCCCCTCTCTCCCTCTTATTTCTTCTTGTTTCATATCTCTCTGATACAGATTTTTTTCCCATTTTTCATTATTAATTTTAAATAGTTTTGAATCAAGAAGGCTAATTAAAGCAGGCTTAAACATCTGAATGCTTCAAGTGAAAATTTTGGGGTTACTGACTTGCCTGACTATGGGTCTCTGAAGCACAGTAGCATAAGTACAGCAATGATAAGTTGTTTCCAAAACATCTTAAATTGGTAAAAGCACCTGGAATGCCAACCTATGGATAACCACAGGCATTAATGACCACTTACAGCAGCAATACTGCCCCTGTCCAGGGCACACCACCCCTGACACAGGAGCTGTTGTAGGACTTTAACCTTTTGGGCTGGTCACAAGCACAAAACATACCTGAATATGTTAATTTGAGCTCTTTAATGTATGTACAAATGTTTTAGACCAGTCACAATTTCATTGAGTATATACTGTATTTACAAAAATTACAATAATTGAGTCAAACAGTAAACCTGAACATTGATAACCTCTGTCACTACCAGATATGACAAGAACTTTTTTTTTAGTTAACTATTTTGATATACATACGTCCTAATACTTTCATGCATCCATAAAAACATTAGGGATGGAAGTAATCAAAGCTTAAGTGGCAGAGAGGTTTTTTTGGTAGATAAAGTTTAATGATGGATTTGTATTTCGTGAAGGGATGAGTATCCAGAGTTATGTGCCATGACAAACTCCATACAAAGCTAATGTTGTTTTCATCATTAAAAAAGTACGTTATAGTAATGAGATCCTTTTTATTATATAGGCATAGGTCACAATATCTACAAATGTGAATGAGAAACAGTAAACCAACAAATCACAGGAACATGATTCACATTCCAGTTATCTCTTTAAATAAGACAAGCACATACTGGATCAAAACATTAATAAATAACATCCAGTTTGTTACTATTTTCTTAAGGTCTTTTATATAAAAGGAGACCTATGTGTTGGTTTCACATTTTCTGTTAATGGTAGTAAATAATGGACCAATACAACAAAAGGATGAGTTTTATACAGAAAGCAATGTACTTTGACACACTGTCTTTGCAGTAATAGCTTTGCCACTTGAAAATGTAAGTGCAACAAGTAGTGGATTGTCTTGAAAAACCACCAACTTTAAAGACTCACATCAGATGGCAACCTGTTCCTGAAGCAGTAAATACAATTTCCTGCCCATCTGCTGAATATCCCTCAAATACAGATACAACATGTTGGTAAATAAACTGCTACCTTTAGTAACTCTACAAAAGAATGCCAGAATTTGGGGTGAAGTTTGAATTTGAACTTGCTTTTTAACTAGGAAAGCTGCTTCAGCTTTAGCATCAGAGATATTTCCTTGTGATGTTACTGCTTTGGTCCAATATAAACTTTTAAGAGAATCAATTTGCACTATATTTACCTCAAAAATCAGACCTGGTCACCACGATCTGAAAGGTGAAGTTGCAACAGGTTGCAGCCTGCCAAGAGCCTTGGCCAAGTGCTCTGAAGCTGATAAAGGCATAAAGGTGATACAAGTGGGCTGGGAAAAGTCTTCTGAATCCTCAGGAAGGGGAAATGTTACCTATAGACTAGGGAGTTTCTAAAACTTTGCAGCAGAGCTTTAATTTGTTGATTTTTTTTGTTTGATGGTTTCAAGCTGCTGGTGAGAATTTCATGGGAAATGCAGTACATGCTCATTCCTCACATTTACAAACATGGGTTCACCCTTCCCCCCAAAATTGCTGTTTAACAAACCAGTCAGGTGCTGTTTAACATCGATGACTTTTTGCTTGCTTTAAAAGACGCTGAGGAATTTCTTCTTTTACTGCTGGACTGTGAGGTGAAGTACAGGATTAATGCATAAAGCAGTGGGCAGCTGCCACGCTGACCTAACCCAGGATTCAGCTTTGGCTCTATTCAGGTAGACTACACTATATGAGCAATTAAGCAGCAAATGGTGACTGTTAGAAGTGTGTCTAAACCACATCTGAGCACTTAAATTTGATGAAGTTTGATCCAAACCCAAGAAAAAAAAAAGTACATCGAAGTTTGGGCTTCACCATCAGTTGTTGAACTCAACTGAAGTGTTGCCATGTCACGTATCACCAAAAAAAAAAAAAAAAGTAGGAAATTCACCAGCTACACTGTATCAGAGACAGAACAATTTCACCTTTTCCCAGTATGTGTTCTCTCTTCCCACTGGAATCCAAAGAAAAGTATGAAAGTTACAAGAAACTGTAACCCCGAGGCTCTGGTAGGGTGAGCCAGGTGGCCAGATTTCCTCTGAGCTCAGGATTCTTGAGACAAGTGTTAGGAAACCTTTCTCTTGTTCTTCATGATAAGTATTAGGCTCTTAGTTTTCTGAAACTTCTGAATTTCCAGCCGGAGTTTGGTTGTTCTGTGACATTTGTAACAAGAGACTATATAAGCACTAGCACGGGTCTGTAGTGGAGACTGAGAAAGTACCTAATACAAGGGTTTTTGTCCTTGGTTTTCAAATTCTGACCAGGCATCATTTAGCTCCATAAATATCATCTTTGCATATTGTTCATATGGCTGTCCAGTAGCCTGGAATAAAAACAGAGAGACGGATATCACAGCTACCAAATCCAACCACACACAGCTGCCATGTGAGCAGGGAGATTCCCAAGCAGCTACTGTTCACTTTCCACAAATTTACACTTACTCCTTGACAAAAATGAGCGACTCTGGAGGGCTGCTTACCTTCTTTACACCCAAAGAATATCTTGGCTCTTCTGGTCCTCAAAGCTCACAACCCCCCAGGTGTGACAAAGCACTGCCCCAAGGGCATAGTAAATGTAACGCAGGCATTGCAGGAGGCCTTTTACCTGCACTGAAGGTGAAGAGTTGCCACCTGACACAGTTCCTTGATAAAACCAGTATTCTTGCAAGCCTTGGGGCAGCCTACATCTTCCCAAGCCTCGCCCACTGTCCTGAAACTCTCAGGGTCTTACTTTCCTTAAAAGTCCTCACCATAGGTTGTCCCAGGTGGAGTCATTGCACTCTGATCAGCAAGTGTAAGCAGCAAGACCACAAGCTGGGTGATCAGATAACCTGATTGTTCCATTTGAGGAGTTCGATTTGAATCTCCTTTCGCAGGCACGGTATTGTGGGCTGTTGTCCACCAGCAGAATGGCTGAGAGTCAAAGTGAGGGTGACAAAACCTGAACATTTGAGTCTCTGCTGCTTGGAGCAGCAGGTACCAAGCAGTCTTGGGGCTGGGATTGGTTACAGAATCACAGACTGGTTTGAGTTGGAAAGGGCTTTAAAGCTCATCTTGTTCCTGGCCTTGGACACCTCCAGGGATGGGGTGAGAGTCCTCAGCTTTCAGAAATCATCAAAAATAATGAGCTGCCTTTTACTAAGCTGTTTGCACAATAAATTAAGCAATATACCCCACACTTTATAACAACACCAATGTCTGAACAAGTGAAAGTAGGAGAGCCTTACCTTGTCAGGATGAACGACAAGCACTGCCCGTCGATACACCTTCTTCACCTGCTCTGGTGTCACAAGGTCTGCCATACTCACAGGTTTCCACCTGGTCTCCCCTGCCCACAATACTGTGTGCATTGTGGACAGCAGGGCTCTTATATTCCTCTCCTTCCCTTCAATCCATTCCAGAACCTGGAGAAGGGAATGTGTCTCAATTTATGCCTTACGTTAGATATTCCACTAGGACAAAGTTTCTTCATTTGAATAGCAATGACTCCAAGGAGAAGCTTACATTTCTTTCCATGCTTTACAAAACCTTTGGAAGACATTTGTCTGTCTCTAACTGATCATTAATTTTTATGTCCCTGCTAAAAATACTGACTTGGTAACACTTCAGTCATTAGATGGAATAGTCAGAAGTTGTGGTTTCATATTTCAAACATAGAGCAGGACAGACCGAATTTCCTTCCCTTCTCAATAGATCTGCAGTTTGGCAATTTATTGAAGAGAGATGAGAGAATTCCAAACCAGGCAAGATTAATGAGGCAGAGGATTAGTTCAATTAGCTGTACCTGCTAATCAGGGCTGGAGTGATGTGGAAGACCAGCAGCCCAGACAGTAACACTGAGTAAGGCACTGTTGATATGGTCTGGTTGAGGACAGAAATGTGACCTTGACGTTTTAAATCTATTCAGGATGAATGACACATTGACTGTAAAACTATCACCAAGAATTTTGCTTACTTTTAGTTTTTCAGGGTCCATCTCCTTCGCCATTTCTTCTTTTCTCATCTCAGCTATTGTTTTGGGGCCCTTCTTGTCCTTGTGAGCATTA